GTTTGAGAATAAAAGATACATAATCCTTCCTTTACAAATATTGAATTTTATTCGACCCCTAACATACATGAACTGGTGACTTGAGACATAATTGTGTGCACAGACCCACTTTTCCTTTGAACTTGAGTATTTACACATGATTTTACTACATTATGAATAAAACACTAACAAGAACAAAAATAATATTTTATTGATACAATTGATAAATACTGATTTTATGTTAAATTATTTACATGTTTGCCAGATGGTTTGGAGAACCTATTTCCCACATTGTTAGGTAAAAAAGGGGAAACAATCAGAGTGAATATATTTAATGAAATGTTTTAATATACAAGTCTATCAGGCTCTTTTCAAAACATTCAAGGAGGGAGAAAAGGTCCTATGTGCGCATTTTATGCTTGTGTGGTAGTTGTGCAATGAAGGGTTGAAAGAACGAAGTGATTACAAAGCATTCACTTTTTTTTCCGTAAAAAGCTTAGTCCTTGTCATAGTTCAAGTATTCCATCTATTTGACAAAAGAAAAAGCTTTTTTTTAAATGTCACCCAGCTGTGCAGCACCTCCCTTTGGTTTATAAAAATTCAATATTGATCTATGATCAACAAAATGCAGCCTACTTTCCACCAAATTGGCGTTTAGTATTTCATAAAGCTTATACCATTCAGTCAAGAATGGAAGCATATGTGTCATTAGTTAAATCAGTTGGACGGTACGTGGTAACAGACACTCAGATTCAGCAGCTTGGAAAATATACTAACCCTCCTTTTTGCTTCACGCAGTTGGTGAAAAAAAAATTAAAAAATCAAGGAAATGGATTTCGTCTGACTTGTAGTCTAGAACTGAGCATACAAGTAATTCAAAAGGAAGTCAAAAATGGAAAATTATTCAAATAATAATTTCCAAACTATTTACTCCGACAGTGATTTATAATTTAATACATAATTTAACGCAAGGCGTTCCTTTTATCAGTTACCAACCAATGTTTCCAAAAGAATACAAAGTTTGCAGTTGAGCACTTTTAGAAATATCAAATAACACTAGAACCAGTCAGTCTTAATAAATTCTGAAACCGTGTTAAAATCACTATTGGAAAACATTTAGGAAAGGCATGTTTTCTCAATTCCCAGTAACTTTGGATGCCTTCAATAATTATGCAACAGTGGAGAACAGTGGTATGATATTTGCCCTCAAAATGGAAATGTTTTGTTGTATTCAGTTATGAATTTTCATTTAGGACCAACACTAATTTTAATGTACAGCCCAATAATACAGACCTCAATATTACAATGCACTTCAAAAAAACTCTTCAGTAAAATTGGAAACTAACACATTCATTTTGTTATTTGTAGCAAATCAAAAATTCTTATTTAGAACAACATATGAAATAACCGTAATTGCAATACCAAAGTTGAGAATAATAAATAGTTTTTAACTGAATTAATGAAAACCAGAACACTATAAGTGACATTTTATAAATTCAGAGAAATCTGTTCATTTAAGTCAATATTACTGTAAAGTAATGATGCTTTGTTTCATCATCAAATATCAATTCTGATAATTATAATTATAATACACATCATAGCAATTATGTTCATCAAGTGTCAGTATCAACTGCTCACTACCAGAAATCTACACACAATACATGGACATTACTATACAACGCATTGCCAGATGACATTAAACAATTGAAGTCGGTACACAAATGTAAGTCAAAAGTAAAATCTTTTCTGCTGAATAACTGTTTCTATACAATTAGAGACTATACTGATTATCAAAAAGAATAATAATGTTTATTTGTAAAAAACAGTGATATATAACGAATTAGTTTATATTGGTATTGTATATTTTTCTTTTTAAAAAGACTTAATATGCTTGTAACAAACAATGTACATAAGCTTCCGGGACAATGACTCCCCATCTCGATCAGAATTTCGTCCAGTTCTGTGATCCATTGAGCAAATGCTGAGATGCTTCAATTTTAACTTTTCCTCATCTTTCAACTATTTATAGTTAAAATGATAGGAAAATATTTTGGAACTCTTGAAACTACGCAGATGATCTTCTTCCCCATATGTCACATACAGTTTTTTTGACTAAATAAATCTAAATCTAAAATCATTAAAACTGCAGCATTTCAATTATTCATTAAAATCACGAAAATACTTGCCACTAAAATATACCCTAAAATAAACATTTTTTTTTTTTGAATTTGTAAAATGTCACTTATACCATTGTTTTTCACCCATTCAACTGTACTTTTTAAGAGGTGGGAAATGTGCAATAGCCAACACATAATACTAGAAGGAAACAAAACAATACCAAATTGTATGCAGTACTTGTTTTTTATTATTTTTAGATATGACTTTTAGCACATAAAACACTGTTTTTATCTTAAATTTCATTCATATGAATCAATTGCCACTGTCAAGTTCTTTAAAATGTTTCCAAGGAAATATCTACTTCAAGGTAAATTTTGTTGCTCCCATCATAAGAGTTCATTGTCTACTGTGAAGTTAGTAAATAAATGTAAAATTTGAAACATGTGTTGGAATAAGGTCAATTATCCGTTTGATGCTTTTTCATACAAAAGCTAAACGAAATCCCTGTAATGTAGATCACTTCTGAACTAAAATAAACATCGAACAAAGAGTGAATAAAGGCAATGTTTTAGTTACAAGCAATAAAAACATTAACAAGAAGGTTTTCTGTAGATCATGAATTCATCTGAATCAATGATATTAATAGGTCAGTTAGCAATTATAAACTGGTTAAAAGAAATGAACTAGTGTTTCAGTATTGAGATCTTAATTCATTGAAAACCAGCATCTCTCCAATTAAAAGTTCAGTGTACTTGACAGCTGAGAAAGGAGATATCGTTCAAACACATGCTAAACATGTTGACCCATCAATATTAATGCAGTCTTTTCAAAGGATAAAAACAAAGATCAAGACCAATATTTGTACAACACTCATATTGTGAAATAAGGTGTTGGAGAAAATTCAGCCTTTGCAAATAGATCTCAAATAAAATTCTTCCATCTTCAAAAAGCAGCTCTTGTACATTTTAAAGAATATGTAATGTTTTATATAAGTTATATATTTTTCAATAATTAAACTTTTTAATATCTAGAAATAAATCAGATCTTACACAAAGGAAATTAACTATAATTTTTATGTGCATTTTAGTATAATACTATCCAACAACTTCAAAATAGGCATCATTACATTTACAAACTCTCAAATATAAAATTAAAAATATATGAATAAAATTAGTTTGGAACTGAATCCTCTCCAGTATTGTCTTAACAATATTGATAACGACGATTTCACATCATAATACACAACACTAACAAAGAGTTGAAAAATTTGTATTTGTTTCATTTCGATTGACAGAAACTCAGCCAATTTGTTGTGCTTATTGAGTGTTCTTCGGTGGATTTCATTGCGCCAAACTTCCATTAGTGCCAACACTTTTATTTTCATTTATATGATAAGTAGCTTTCAAGCAATCAATATACAATAGATGAGCAAATATTGCTTACATATTTATGTAATGTTTGTTTTTGTAATAATTAATGTTAATTACAAATTCTAACACATTCATTGAAGATGAAATGAACCACATGATTTTATTATTGTACAAAAACAAAACCTAGTTCCTCAGTATTTTCCTTTATTTGCATTATTAACCAAACTAATACCATCTGAAAAGATAACATCAACTAATTATAAGTAACAGAATATCACAAAAAGATGTCAAACAAAATTCCTCTCTCAAAACAAAACAAAAATTCATGCAATGAAATAAAAATGCACTTCCTTCAAAAGCAAAAGGAAGAAGAGGGAAAATCATTGGTCATCAGAAAACTTGCATAACATTTTGAATGAAGAAATATGAAATAGTTTCAAGATTGCATGCAAAATCATGCGAATGGTCAAGCAGCAACTTTTTCATAATCTTAGTACAAGGTAGATAGTTAAAAATATCAAATTATCATTTGAGAATAGTGGTGATGTGGTTAAGCACTGTTGAGAGAGACCACAATGAAAAGAAATAAATATTTATAAATTAATCTACATAAATTTACAGAAACTTTGCTTACATAGTATGTTCTACATAGATTGTACATATGTCACCAAAATATTGTAATTCATGCTATCTACCAATTGTGTCCGGTGCAAGCATGTTTTATAAACAGTTCCCAATAAAGAAAAAGAAGAAATGGCAGACTCTTAATAAATGCCTCAAAAGAACTAATACGTAGTGTATTGGCTAAAAGAAGAAATTCTGTGGAACAGAGAGTGGTAGATAAGTTGTTGAAGCCTCAAACAAAAGTTGTAGTGTACAGTAGATATTTACAGTTGCAGCAAATGTATTTACCTCATACACTTAATGAGTGTTTTGTATATAAATTCATGGATGCATGGAATTCATGGATTCATTCCCAGAATCTTGCCTAAGTTTGTAAAAATATATTACCTCAATTATTTTATAAGTGATAGAGAAATATATTGATTCCCCTTCTTGACATATCATGTTTTACTGTGATAAAAAGAATGTTCTATCTTGTCTGTGTTCCTATTACATTACATTTCAACTGAGTACATAAAAATACTTGATCTAGATAAATGAATTCATTAACATTTTAAAGCACATTTTTTGTCTTAATTTAAATACAATTTTTAATTGCTTCAAAGAATTAATTGCAATGCTTTATTTCTAATGTGTTAAATGTAACATTTTAAAATATTTTGAGTGTTAATATTAGTCAAATTAAAGCTGTAAATTCAATCAACAATAATTGTTATCACTATATCATTATATACTACAAGTCTTTTCCTGAGTTATAGCAGTTCATGCTTATGTGTAATTTTTAAATCAACATTTAAAAGTTTTACTTTAATTATTACATCAATCTAACCATTCAGTTAAATAAACATATTATCCTTCCATACAAATGAAAAAAATTAGGAAATTTGTAAGAAAACAATGTTTGAAAAAAAAAAAATTTATTTCACACAAAATTTTCACAACTAAAACTAATTAAGATTTTATCGATGAATACATCACACAAACACTAATCTAAGATAGGAATTCAATTCGAATACTGGCCAATTAAACGACCAATCACATATGGCTGGTTCCAGGTCACGTTTCTTTTTGGGCGAGTTGAATGTTTTTTTGTAACAGGTACTGGCCTCCGTGGCTTTCCGGAGAAATGGGTAAAGCTTCCACCTCTAAGAATCTTTCTTCGCTTCTGCGTAATTTTGCGGCAGATAGATGCAAACTTTTTCACAAACATGTACGCTTGGCTCGGAGTAGTAATTCCTTTTAGGAGATCAACAAAATCATCCGCAATCCTCATTCTCCTAGTGTTACTTCCATCACCTCGAAGAAGCCCCACTATTCTTACAATTTCATGCACAATTCTGGCAGCAATGGTGTCACTTTCACAGATTGCTCGATATGCTTCAGCTGTAGTTGGAGACACAACTCCGGTTGAGAAGAAAGCAGGAAGGACGAGTCCGGCATCGATGGTCTGACCTGCACAGTTGCGTACGGAGATGTAACATCCACTTAATGCTTTCAAACAGTTGTACAAGGTGTAAATATATAGTGACAGTGAACTTCTGAACCCTGACAATTATTGATAGAATTATTAAATACTTAAATTTTTAAAGTTAGTACACTTGAATGAAATAAAATATATCTACTAATACCCAATCATGCAAAACACAGAAAATACGTAGTTATCATTCCCTTACTTACATCACCAGCATCAGAAGTGATACACTAACTTTTAATCAGACTTAATCCAAAATTATTAATCATTAAGATAATTATATAATTAAAATGAAAGCACAAAAAAAGAAACAAAAAAAAAAAAAAAGATTCATACATATATACATGATACTATTAAGTTTTTTTCTGAACTCAATGTTAATACTAAATCTCAAAATTCAAAGTTCTATTCACTTGAGCATGCCTAATTTGTTTCTGTTAAGAAGTTACCATTTTCTAAAACCAATCAAAACATACGCTCTTAATATACAAAATTTCTAAATACCTTTGTCTACCTATCAAAATGAACAGAAATCAAATAACTACAATACATCACAGTTTTGATCCTCCAGTTTTCCACTCAAGTGTTCACTTTTTTTCTCTCCACACAAACAAAAAGCAAATTTCTGATTTTCATCAAAAATGAAAATTTTTCACAAGTATTATTCAAAAACTCAATTTGTATTTACAATTGAGACAAGATTCAAAGGTAAAAAAGGAAAATAATAAACATGAGTAGACAATTCTGCATTTTATACAAATGCTTTTCAATGAAAATAACTCAACAACTAATGAGTATCAACAACTTTTGTTTGAGGACTTCTAAACAGCAGGAAAAATTACAAATTGCCTAGTAGAGAGGATTCAGACAACCCAGTGCTTGGAAAACACAAACAACCCAGATGTTTATTATATATCAATTGTAAGGGTCAAAGAGTTTTGTTTTTTTTCTGTGAAATAATCTTGCTTCAAAGGAACATGTGGCTGGACACAAATAGGTGAAATGCAACATGTCCGTCGACTGTGTATTCCAATGGGTTTCCATCCATATTACTGAAACGTGAAACAGTTAAATCTAGGGTGGTGTGTGTGTGTGTGTGTGTGTGTGTGTTTTTTTTGAGCTAGACCTACAAATACAAGAAAATCTTCAGTTTGCTGCACAAAAATATATTTCCAAAGAACCAGATAATGGCTTCTTTCTTGCAAGAACATTTAAAAAGTGACAAAAAGCAAAGAAAAATCTGTAAGACCTGGTCAATATGTAAATGAGTAGAAAAGGAAATAAAAATGTCTCAAAACAAAAGAAGAAAAATGAATCCAATTTTCAGTTCACTATTATAAATAGTTCAGCTGTACAACCACATGATGTAAGTTATTGCATTATGAATACATAATGAACGCATCTTAAGAGTCCACCAAAAAACACATCAATTACATTTTGTTCCTTCCACCATTTTCAGGAACAAGTCATTCTTTCTATAGACCAGTTAAAGAATAAGTGGCAAGGGAACACAGAATATGGCTACAATAATTCAGCCCAAGAACTGTCTCTTAGTTTAAAAAGATTATCTCCACATAAATACGCAAAAGAAAATTGTAATTGTTCAGGAATCAAAAAGGATAATTTAATATTATTGAACATAAAACTGACATTTTTCAATAGGAGGGGTTAAGATAAGCTAAAATATTACTTCATGAACTGCTAGGGAACGAAACATCATGTAAAAATTGTTAACAAGATAGTACTGCTCATATTTATCCCACTTAGAATCTTTGACAACCAAAGATATAATTATTAAGAACCAAATACACAGCACATTAGAATTTTTCAAAGAAAAAGCATACAACTAGCTATACAAGAGGAAAATAATATCCTACCTTTATAACTTATAGACCTCAATAAAAAATAAACACAACCAACAAACTATAGCAATCTAAAACTGCTATCTACTGAACTTTTTTCATTCTGATTTCAAAACATATTTCACAAAGATGGAAAACCTAACTGGTCACAACCCTTATACATAAATATTAACTATATAACACAAAAGACCAAGAAATGATTCAGAGGACTGCAAATTTTGCATTTCTTCCTTTCCTTTTTTCAAGTGAGCATACAACATTTTTTCAGAAGAAAAATTGCTAAACAACAGTTAAGTGTGCAGTAGTTATACATCAACACAGTTTTAAAGTAATCACCTGTGATTAAGACTTTAAGAATATAGAGTTGATTATTTAGAATCTGAATCATCTACACACACAAATGCATCTTTCTAAGCACCAAATTTTCAAGGTATAAGCATAGCAAAAATTCAATTCATTAATACTTAAACAAAATAATTCAAAACAACATGAAACATTGAAGATAATGCTTAGTAATAGTCAAATTCTATAATGGAATCGAATATTTGACCGTTATATAAAAGAATCCGTCTTGAATTTAAGAAAAACATGTGATCTGAAGACTCATGACCATTGTACCCCAATTTTAAAAATACAATTAATACCACTATTGAATACTTCGGCAATTATTACTAATAACGCTAGCAATCTTTATTTTTCAACCAATCACAATAAAGATCCTTACATAAAATTGGAAAACAATTTTCCTTTGTTCAACTTCTGACATCTTTTGGCGGAACTTACCAGTAGCTGACCCGCTAGAAGTCATCTTGGTCGTCAAGTTTGACTAGACAGCGAACGAATACGGCAGGATTCCGCCGTTACTGGCCGCATAAACAACGTATCACTCTACAAAACACAACAAAAAAATCATAGTAGTTTTACACCACAACATATCCATGAGAGGCGATGTTATAAAGATCACTAGCATGTGAACGACATTTGCTGCACCTCTATAGAATTAAATTTGTTGCATTTAAAAAGTTTCATTGTTGTATACATGGGTTCTTTAACAAATATTAGAATAATTAAACATATTTATCTCTATCAATATCACAAATGGCACATGCATTGTCTTTAACGGATACTTACCAACGTCAATTACGTGTAGTACGTTTACGGAGTTATCCCTGCCTTCAGCAACTTGCAGTTGTCTTTTTTCCTCTGGCGAAGCCCCTCGCGGACGAAGTGGAAAACTCACTCGGGAAACAAAAGTCTAACGAAATTTTGCTGGCTCTCCTCAGCCGATTCTGTTTATTCTAGTGAATATGGCGGCGCCCTCAGCAACTAGTTTGCCTCAGCCAGTTCCGATCGTCAGTGATAAGAAACGAAAAAAAGCATTAAAAAATATAAAAAAGAAAAAAGTTGACCGAAATATTCTTACTAAACCGGATGATGATTACTGGTAAATATTTCATTGATAATTATTGATTTAGTGTAATGACATTAGAGGTTATGTTTGTGTTTTTGATAAATGGTTTTTAAATTGTCAAATGAATTTTTAGGCCTGTCATTAATGAGGAGGAGAATGCTCGTTTGCATGAAGCTTTTCAAAGGTACATTTTTTATTAATGTGTATATCTTGCGTTTTCGTGTGCTCACATCTCTCACATGTTCTTCCTATTTTAGGTTATTAGATAATGAACAGAATCTTGACAATATGAAGTTAGTACAAAAAGAATTAATGATCCTGAAAAGAAAAAAATGGTTGTAAGTATGAATTGGATTTGAATTTGTACGCATTTTATCCATTACAGTATCCATTACAGTTGACTAATTTAGAAATTCATTTATACAGAGAATATCTGGTATTTGGAATAAATGATGTTCCAAGGAGTGTGATAAAGGGGTCAGTAGCTGCTGTGCTTATTGCTGATGACATAACACCTAGGCACTTAGTGCAACATGTAGCGACTCTGTGTGGAACAGCTGCAGTTCCCATCTTGATTGTGTCATCCTTTCGACAATATACCAAACAGCTCTTAGGTTTCTCTTCTATCGCTGTTGGAATCCGAGTAAGTAAAGATCTTAAATAACCATTAAGACTTTTTGGAATTAATTTTATTTATTTGAAAGGGGATGTCTTCAATTTTTATAACCTTCTTTAATATCATTGGTAAATGAATATTAACTTTTAGACAATAGATTTTATTTTTTTTTATAAAATTCTAACATTCTATTGACTTCTAATAGCTCAAAGACTATCAGGTTGATTGTCCACATTAAAGACAATTAAAAGCTACTTAAACAAGTCCTGTTTATTCATTGTTCAAATTGGACAGTGAAAATTTCATCAATTTGAGGCCGCAGGATAAATGTACTTAAGGACTTACAAATTTATATCCTGGTATCAGAGAATTTTTTTAGCCTTTGGGTGTCTCTGGCACAAAACACTTTTCTAAGGAAGTGTGTATGTCCATGGAGCTGTAGTTCAAGTCACTTTTTTAATGTCACAACTATTCACAAATTTAGTAATATACTCTGACGTAAAAATTAACATCTACAAAAAACTACATGGATAGTTTTAAATAACTTTTGTTTTCAGTACTTTGGTGATATGTTTTGAAAAAACGAACATCTGTACGTTCATATTGAAACAATACTTATGCTCTTCCTCTTGTATATTTACATTACATATTATTTGTTTATTAATATACACATGCTTGAATTACCTATAATGTTAAAGATATATTTTAGACATGTAAATTGGATAATTTATCTAATCCCTATGATACCTGAATCTCTTAATTACCAGCAAGAAAGTATAAATTAGAATAATTTTAATGTGGTGAATAAATAATATCTTAGCTCTATTGCTGCAGAGCGTAATGACCTTAAGTCCACATTGCTCTGCTTCATCAATTTTCAAGAACACAGAAAGACACACAATCATTTCTTAGAAAAGTTTGATTTGTGTTCTTTGCAGATCTTTTCAGTTAAAAATATAATCAGGCTACCACTTAATCCATGTTGCAACATTTTACAAAAATCTGAACTCTTCATTAAGCACTTTGGTCCTTTCTACATCTCGTCATCTATTCTGCAACTCAGCTGTCTTCTCAGCACTGTGATTCTAAGTAATGTCGTAATACAGTTTCTCAACTACTAGATTTTTGATGACCTGTAATTTTGTGTCATTGTGACTAGTTGTCTGCAGGATTCAATCAGTACACTGGTTCACTTAATGAAAATGAAAGAAAAATAATAGATACATTTTTTTGAGTAGTAAGTTTTTTGTTGATCTATTTTAAGTCAACAATATTTGATTATTCAAAGCTGTGTGTATGACTTGCACATATTAATTCAGAATAAAAGGTGTATGTAGTGGTCTTCATTTTTATGTGAAGTTTTCTGATGGTTCTTGATTTGGGTAATATTGAACAAAAGTGTATTATCGTGGTTAGTATCTATCTTGTACATTCCTATTTCATAAGCTGATTTGCTTACTGTACTGAAGTATTTTTTTTTCTCTTCAGAAGCACGTTGGGGAATCAGAAGACAACAAATTTTATGAGATTCTAAAACTCGTCATAGAAATATCAGAGAATTATAAACCACCTTCGTCAATAACACAATTCAGGAAAGCTGCACTTGAAAAGAGAAAGGAGATTAAAAATACTGTTTCTCCCGAGAAGACACCTGCAGTTGCAGTGAAGAAATCTACACCATCAACCGATTTGTACTTGTACAGGACTTCTCACGCGAGCAGGGTTTTTGTACCAGAATCCCAGAAGGTAGAAAGTAGTAGTCCAAAGATTGTTCAGAAACCAAAAATGGAGGATTTTATGTCTCTTGGAGATATTGACTGGGATATGGATCTGGAAACAGACACTCCTCTTCAAGGAATCAGTTACACAATGGTCAATCCGAAAAAGAAACCCAAACTAGAGCCAATAACTCCGTCCTATCAGCCCCTGAAATATGTGAAAGTGAAACCAAATCCAAACAAGAAGTCCCATTAGTTTCATGCAGAAGACCTACCAGAGACAAGTAACTTAAACTTTCAAAGTTTTTAAAATTGCAATTTACAACATAATTGAGTACCAGACACATCATGGAAGTTTCCTTTAACAGTAGCTTAAAGGCCATGTTGAAAATATGTTTAACTTTTACTATGGTTAAATTGCTGCCGATTTTATAATTTCAAATTGTTTTCATGTTGTTCTGCAAAAAAGTGAGTTAGTGATATCAAGTTACTGGTAATTGATCTTGAGTCATTACTCTTCGTGCCACATGGAGCTTTAGCATTTTAACTTTGCAAAAATTACACACAGACTTTTAATTCTGAATTGTCTGTGTATGTTCATGAAGATTTTGGCCAAAACTTTCATGTTGAGTTATATTGATTACTGCAGTCTTCTGTCCATTTATTTCACCTATTTTCTTGCAGTTCCTTGTTATTCTACTAAAATAAAACCAAATGTAAACTGAATATGGAAAGGTGTTTGTTAATGAAGCACATATGAAATTGTTAATATGCAAATAATTACAATTTATTGAGATGTGCCAACAAATACTGTCCATTTGTTTGTGCAAAAGTACAGGATAAAGAGTAAATATATATATTGTATTTGAAAAAGTGTTTAAAACAATCTATATCTTGTTACTTTGTTAGAAAAGTTATAAAACAATAAAGAGAAATCATGTACTGAAGATCAGTTTATTCGTTCATTTTTAGTGAGTAAATAAAAAATATGTTTCGAAATTTATACTTGAACTTTTAACATTAGTAGCATCAGAGAGGAATATTTTTAAGCTGGTACAGTATGCACAGTGACACTTCCATTTGAACACTGACAGGCATCTCATTAGACTTCATTTTAGGCTTGCTAGTGTGAGGAGAAAATTGAATTTTTTTTAAGACTATTATTTGAAACTGTCAAGTATTTCTATTTGTTAAGAAAACATATTTTATCTGTTAACACCAGACTTTGCAATGGTAAGCCCATCATAATTTTTGGTCACTGAATAAAAAATGATAGTATGTAAAAATATCATTCTATTCCCAATGAATCCATTGTTAGATATATTGGCCATTCTTGTCGCTCAAAACAACCTAGGAATATCATATTTGAAAATTTGGAAATCAATAAATATATTTAATATGCACTGTGCTATATTTTTCTCTCATACTGAAATCAAACTATTTTATTATACAGCCAATATACTTCCTTATTAATCACTTTTAAGATTTGTGAACTTGAATAGTGATAAACTCTCAATAGTGCGCTCTATATTTCTTTTGGGGATTTTTCTTTATACTATCAAAAGCACAATTTCTTTTGGTTGCATAAAAGAAATCCAATATTTCCAACAAAGTTTATTGTACTTGTACATTGTGTCAAAAAGCGAAAGAATTCGAAATAGCTCTGAGGGACAACCACCGTTTCCTCCTTTTGCGTGTTAATTGTGCATATCTGACAGCGCTTCTGCGACTAGAAGGGAGAATGTTTATTAATTAGACCTCTCCAGCTCATGAGAGGAATTCCCCATCTCTTGAACTGCAATCTACAGGCGTAAACTCCATTATAGATAACACTAACTATTCATCATAACTCACCATAGATTAAAATGAACTATTCAACCATGGTATCACGAGATGTGGGCGATGTCACACGCCAGCAAGGGCCTGGTCGCCGGCAGACCAAATGGCGCACTAAAACATCTCAAAAAGTGGTCAACCTAAAGCTCGTGAAAAGGGGCAAGCCTAATCGATTGATTTTTCTCTGTTGTCCCATTACAAGTCGACGCATGTAACGTGTTGTGTGCTTTTTTGAAGTTTATACAATTGACTTCTTTGCCGGTCTTCCTGTTACAAGAAGCTCGACTAAAAGGGGATGTAGTCGGTACATGGCTAAGTGACCACGGCACACAAGGGAGCCCATTAAGCACATAATGTGAGTGTGTGTGAATATATTTTATGAGGGTACACATACATTTTCTCTAGGCGGCCCTGGACTAACGTCCTGTAGGCGACGTGTTGGAGAAATCATAGGCCTATCCCACGAATCCCCGCGTCCTACGTTTCTTGTGAAGACGTTCCAATGCAGTTACAGCCGTTGATTAGTTATTCCGGGCGCGTCAACTGGTATAGTGATTAGTTCTGTGAGTGCAGTGCATCGCTTGAGGTGCCGGTGATCTTGCCCCGCTGGATGGTGGCCGCGCCGACCCTTCCCGTCGGTTTGCGGGCGTTTCCCCTAGCCAGGTATCTCCCACCAGCTGGACATGAAGATGTGTCACGGAAGGGGAAGCAAATCACACCTGATCCGTGGCCCGTTTGATAGGGTACTGCTCCTGCATTCGCCTGGTGTTGATCAGAGAAACTACGGAAAACTACCGATCAGAAGCCGACCACTAGAATTCTCCTCCAGACAGCAGCTGAATTTCACCTAGCTACTATTGCAACCATCATTCACTGCATACATCATTTCTCTGTGGACAGAATTTGTAATTTCTTCTTGTTGTGGAGTAGGAATCCATTCTTCGTTAATAATACAGGATTGACAAAAAAAAAAATGCTCTTTCAAAAAGTTACTATCTTTAATATATTACTTTTGCCAATGACTTAAGTGCAGCCCATTCTATTTCCCTTCCCAAGGATTGATTCGGGGAATATACAGATACACACTAGTTTACTTTCTAACAATAATTTAATTCCAGATTATTAAAAAATAGTTCTGGTTCCACACAATATCCAAGGTTACACACAAATTCTTGGACAGTGAAACAACACTGTACAAAAAACGCAGTGCAATATACACAGCCACACATCCTAATCACTTGTGCTTTGCCTGACCCCTACCATTTGTGAGAAGTCTCCAGAGCATTTGGCTGGAGTTTCACGTACACACACTGTACAGATGCAAAATACTTAATAAAAAATCTCAGCCTGCTAAAACAACAGTTACATATGATTACATGGAATTAATATACTATGTAGTAATGTAGAAGCTACATACAAAAGCACATCCCAGCCTTTGATAAAAGAATCCTCAGATCAATATTCTTCATAAGCACAGTCATGGTATTCAATATGTATAACATAGAAAGTAGATACGATTTTAAAAATCTGTATATTGTTAAACATAGTTTAACAGAACAATGACAATAGAGTCATTCTTGAATTATTAATGTTAGTTTGAAACTTTAATTAATCTAAGAAACCAAAAAAATACAACAATAAAGGAGGTAGGATCACATATTATATGTGCTCCATGCCTGTAAAAACAGACATTAGTCTTAACATTTAACATTAGAAATAGTGCAAATAACATTGTTTACAGAGATCTGATTAGAAATGGACAACAAGGGGCTTTTTTACAACAAACTATCATTTTTCTCTATATTCCTCTCAAACACAAGAACTTTTAACATGATACAACCATTTAACAATACATCTTCTCAAATCTGCAATTCCATTTAAAAAGAAATCAAAAAGTGCATATACACTGAAATGGAATTTCTTCACGCACAGCATCTTGCAGGAAACAATTTTACACTAACTTTTCCTTACATACACGCGTAACCATGCACACATTCCATTTGCACACACTATCAAACAAACCCCAAAGGCTAGGAATCTACAGAAAGAAAAAAAATAAGCATACGGACATAGCAAAAATATGCCCACCCACTCATCCACTGACAAACGCAGAGGATGTTCAGCTCTCTCCAATATGAAGATTCATCAATCAGAGTTGTATTATATATGTAATTTCTTCACCAGAATAAAAAAAAAAAAGGAATCAAAAACGAAGCATCACTCCGGTAAAACGACTAGCCCTTGGCTAGTCGGAGCAGCTTCGGATGGGGTAAACCCAGTCCACGGTTTCACGTGTTTGTCTCCCCCACGATCTACGGCTTTCGACTCACGACCGCAGGCACGTTTGGCTTCCAAATCGCTCGGTGCCAATTTTCTTTTCGGATCAGGCCGACTCTGTTATCACTCGCGTACTTTGTTATTTGCGAGGAAATTTTGGCTCTCGCCCCACGAGAGTCACATCAAACAAAACTTGAATAAGAGCAACGCGTCTTTTCAAAACCTTTTCATGTCCAAAATTGTTATTTTAGGTAACTAGTACAGAAAGTGAATGTTTGGCTTACGAATGAAATGAAGAGCCGCCGATAGGGGCAGAGACCGGTATTATGGAAATGAGTACGCCAAAGACACTTTTGAACGAGTCGCGTACATTATATTTTGGGTGCGAATTCACGGAAACTTGAAAAAGTATTTCTGTTGGGATCGTTCCGAACCCGCCAGACGCTAGCCATGCTGATTCATTACCCCACAGTGTTTAGAATGCAGCTTCCAGTTGTTTTATTCGGTCACGGGTCTTTGCGGTCCGCGTAGGGCAAAGTCTATTTTGCCGTACACCTACCGGAAAGTAACACATTCTTTAACCAACAAACTGTGAAGGTAAGTACTAGTTACCAAGCACGTCTTCTGAAAAATACGTTTTGAGGTTGATAAATCGAACTTTCGGGCAAGGTGTAATCGGGCAGGCAAGCTACCAATTGAATGGTTGGCAACTCATGCTTCGAGAGTAAAGCTGTGTGCACACATGCGTCTTTTCGTTCGACTTTGCGCGTGCGTTTCGGGCATGCTTCTATTCTCGGATTCCCGAAAAACTCTTCTTTCAGTCGCTTTTCTCATTTCCTTCTTTCGTCTGAATGAGAGTGTAGGCAGTACAAATTCTGAGCCATCGTCAGATCCGCTGAACGACAAGTGTTAATGCAGCGCATGAGCGTCACTCAACTCGGCGCCGAAAAGTCGCTCGATGTGAACGCAGGGTGACGCGCCCGCGATCGTGTGTCTGTCTCGCCCGCTGATTAGATCGCGCTCCCTCCCCCAGCGGCGGCTCAGGGCTTGCCCGGGAACATGGCGAGAATGGCGGCGCAGATCTTCTGCGCGGACGTCTCCTCGGGGAACATGCGCATGGCCTGCTGCACCTGCTCGGGCGGGAAGAGCGCGGCCAGGTGGTAGTGCAGCACGCGGCGGGCCTCCTCCGTGGACGGGTGCGGGTGCGGCGCGGGCGGGCCCCACACCAGCGGCGCCTGCTGCTGCGGCGGCGGCGGCGGCCACACGGGCGCGGCGTCGAACGGGTCGCCGGCCGCCCGCCTCACCCCACGCACAGGTTATCTGCGGGTCGGATGGTGGACCGTGCCGGAAATGTTGCGCCCATGGGGGCCGGCGCCTGCGCGGCCGGGGCGTGGTTCCACGGGCCGGGCCGGTACCAGAAGTCGGCGCGGGACCGCGTTGCGCGTCACGTTGCTGGTGCAGCGGCGGCGGCGGCGGGCGCGCGGGGCGTGGCGCGGGCTCCCAAGCCGTAGTCGGCGGCGGCGGCGGCGCGCCCGCACGCGGACGCAAGCTGCGCAGGCGCGGGTCGCACGCCGGTTGCACGTGGGCTGCCGCTGCAGTTGCGGTGTGCAGGTTGGCCGCCTGGCGGGGCCGTCTCCGGGTCGGACAGCGCGCTGCGCCCACGGCCACGTGGCCGCCCTGGTCGCCGAAAACACGCGCGACCGCTGCTGCTGCTGGCCGCACCACTCGGGCCGCCCCCACAGCCCGTAGCCCTGCGGGGGCGGCAGCCTGCAGCGCCGCCGCGAACGCCGCCGCGCCCGCGCCGCCCTGGATGTTCTCCACGCTGCGCGACTTGGGCACGCCCGCCGGCAGGTCCAGGTCGGGGCCGAGCGCCGGGGCGGGCGCGGGCGCCGGCGTGGGCGGGGCCAGCCCCGGGGCGTTGGAGCGCGTGCGCGAGAGCGGCGTCTTGCGAGGCGCGGGCTTGTCCGGCGCCTCGCCGCACCCGGGCAGCGGCAGGCTCACCGACTTGGTGGCAGGGTTGCCTGCAACACACAACGCAACACCTCAATATCACACTGACACAGCTTATACTTTTCATTATATAGTTAAGTTATTTGTTTATTTATTTATTTATTTCCATCTATTTCAGAGTCGTTGGTATAACGAGTAGCGTGTCGGACCGTTGTTCTCAAGTTTGCGGCTTCAAACCCCCTTCCTTCCTAGGGGAAGTAAAGCAGTCTGTCCCACGTTGTAGATTGTCTGCATGT